AGCCGGTGCCCAGCCAGGCCCGCTCCCCTACGCTCGGCCAGTCTGTGCCTTGGGAACAGGGAAATGAAGCAGGAAAAGCTCTTTACTCCAAGGAACTGCCAGTTTAAGCCTTGGTCTGTGACACCCTCCTGGCACAGCCGGGGGCAAGAGCCCGGCACAGAAGAGGGAAGAACAGACTCGGACCCACACAGCACGAACGCGCCTCCTTCCCCCTCGGCACGACCACGGGGCACGGCCTCACCCCGGCAGCTGCCGGTCCAGCTCGTGGCTCATGTGGAGCGTCCGCAAGCACCGGGTGCTCCTGCCTGCACCCAGGGCTGCTCCGAGCCCAGGGCAAGGGTTTTACAAGCAGGAGGGGAGGGAAACGCACGGCCCCAGCCAGGTGCCAAGGGAAGCTCATTCCAGCAGCTGCTGCTGAAGGACGGAGGGGAAGCAGGTGTTTCCCCACAGGCTGCTCCCCAGCCCCGGCTCTGCCGCCAAGAGAAGCTGCTTTGAGAAAACGCCACCCCCGGCCCTTCGATTTCAACAGAAGTCTAGTCTAGAACCTTCTGCCTCACGCCTACGCCGATGCGGCAGCACCTCGCCCCTCCAGGGCGTTGCTGCTCCACCCCAAGCAGCCGCTGACACAACGGCGCCAGCCGGCTCAGGAGGCAAAGGGGGAGCCCCCACGTTCCTGGGGTGCTGCGTGCCCCGGGCAGCGCCCCCAGCTGCCCCATTTCCTCCACCTGCGAGGTCCAAGCTCACGCTTACTACAAACTCCGAAATCCAACAAGAAAGGAACTTTATTTTACACGTGGCTCGGACACGGACTCCAGCGTTGGCACCCTCGGAGCTTGCAGGGATCGCGCACAGGAGGAGGACGTTACCAGGAAGGAGAAGTACCAGTAAGACATGACCAAAACCAGTAAGCACTGGAAATTCTAACATGGGAACAACCAACATTTAAGCACTAAACAAAGAAAATAATCTTTTTAAAGTCTCAAAGCTGGGAGGGAGAAATTCCCACTCACAGAGAGCCGTTTACAAAGGAGAAAGAAATGTCAAGGAAAAAAAAAAAAGAATCTAAGCAGATCACCTTGCCTAAATCCCTTCTTCAGCCCCAGCAGCTCTGGGACTACGTGCTGCCTCTCCCACAGGGGACCGAGCACAAACAGATGAGACAAGCAATTCACAGGGCAGACGATTAAAACACATAAAAGTAGCCACTGACGGGACGACCCTGCCATCCGACAGCGTCCGAGCAGAGCAAACTGTCGTTTCAGCCGCCCCTCAGGTTGGGATTCCTCCCACACGGGCTGCAGGTGTCAGGTGGAAAAGGAAGTCCCACTCCAGGCCGTTTCCGAGCACGTGCGATCAGGCCACGCAGCTCCCGCCACGCACAGAAGAC